TGAGTAAACATAACCTTGAAGAAACTTTTCTAAAAACATCATTCTTTAAACTATGTGTATCTGTTTGAATTTGCTTAAAAATACAGATTTTAGATATGTTCATGCTCTTCTAAGTTTAATAGTTCTGAATATTAATATTATCATTTTGATGCTCTTTTGATTATTCTCTTTGTAATGTATTGAAATACACTCATCTTATACACTATTCAGAAATGCAATTTAAGTAGGGTGCATTGGAAATTTTGTTTTATCACACTTTTCTGCTTATTCTATATCCTAAATAGCTGTGGGCACTGCTGTGATCTGCATAGTGACAGCAGTTCTAAACTACTCTAGTTTAACTGAATTGTGTTTTCTGATGGTCAGAGTTGCTTGTGTGCCGTTGCTTCTAGTTCTACTCTAGAGTGGGTGTGAAAATATCCATATAACTTACCAGTTTGTAACACTGTGTTTATCTTCTGTTCATGAACATTTTAGGCTCCATCCTCGGATGTGCTCCAGGTGGAAGGAAAAGCAATATCAAAAATTAAACCAGATGAAGTTCAGAAAGAGCTACAAGAGGAACACGACTTGCCACAATCCTTGCCTCCTCAGGCTTCAAATGTCAAGTAATGTTTAAATCTTATTTCATTATAATAAGAAAAATACTGAAAATATATTGTTATTAGTGCATAGCATGACAGCTAAGTTTGGAGAAGAAATAATGCCATGCCCCCAAATTTGGATCGGAACACTTGCGATTTCTTATCTAAATTATCAAGTTTAGTTTGGTATCTCTAGTTTTAATTTGCTATGTATCTCCTTGAAATAGTTCTGATTTACGTTTTTTTAAATCCAGAGGGCCTATTCAGTCCTGCTGTATGCAGATGAAACTTCTCTTGACTGCAGCAGAAACTGAAGTTGCTTATGTGGGGGTTGAATTTGTCCATACAATTCCAAGCATAATCTAATCAAAATAATTAAAAACAAACAATGGAAAATACCACAAATTTAATATAAGCAATGCCAGCTGTAAGTCATCATCTTTAAATAGAGAAGATGTATTAAAAATTCATTAACTTGAATTTGTATTACAGTCAGTGCTTGTCTGAAATTCAGGAGATTTTACATGGAGAGCTGTAATTTAAGGACAACTACTTATTACCTTGCTCTTGTCATAGGTTGTATCTGTCATTCTATAGTAGGAGTGCAGGTTACAAAAGTAGTACAGACTGTATCCTAATTGAACTGATCCTGTCCGTCCCATGTCAAGTGAGACTCTTCAGTTTTATGGTCTTCACTGCTAATAAGATCTTTATAGATAGCTTTGTTTAGATGTACCATAGGTTGCTTCTTCACTTCTCTATTGAGAAAAGGGGGGAAAAAAAAGAAGCGGCTTTAATTATTAGCTTTTGTTGTTCTTAGGGTCCTGAAAGGTCTATTGGATACAGAAGAGAGCCTTTTTATGGCAGGCCTAAAGTTTGTAAATGGATAATACTTTCAATTAAGTAGCTGAGAATAGTCATGGGAAAAGAATGCTTAAGTTTATGAAACAGTCAAATTGGCATTTAAGTGACCCTTTGCATGCCACTGCTTATCTGCATTGCTTAAAGATCATTTGGTTAGCAAGATTATATATTAAAACAAATAGTGTCAACAGACAATGAGTGTTTTACCTTCAATAAATACTTACTGTCAGATTATCAATGGTGCAGAAACTGCACGATTTTCTAAAAAACCTGTGTTTAGTGCATTAAGTGAAGGTAATGTAGGCCACACACATAGTATTGTTTTTTCACGTCCCCTTTTTCAAAGAATGATAAATAGTCTGTTTTAGAAGAGTGTGTGCTGTAAAAACATTCACCTTTACCTGCAGCATGCCCCAAATATTTCAGTTTACATTGATAAAACATTCAGTTAGTTCATTCAATGAAATGATAAGCTTCTATACAAGAGCAGTAATGATAATGAAATTAAAATAACATTCAAATTGTTTTTATTTATTTAAAATAAATGACAAAACTTAGAAAAAAGTTCCAGAGAATTTTAAAATTATTTTGCCTGCCATCGAAATCGCTCCAAATGTTGTAAGTTCAAAGTTAAACTGTTTGCCATCTACTTTTATTTTTTTTAATTGTGTGGTAATTGCATTGCAGAGAAAGTGAACTGTGTTAGAGCATCCTGAGGTAAACTACTATAAACATTTATGAAGATTATATACTCTCTATCGAGTTAAAAAAAGCAGTGTGAAATATTTCTTTCTAATTTTAAATTAGTGATCTACTTATTAAAGCACTGATCTCTAATTTCACACTCCAAAACAGTTACTTATTTCCATTTATGCTGTAAATGTATTCAATTAGTTAAAAAAAATTATCCTTTGCGTTAAATGGGGTTGCTGTAAGCATGCCTTAAATCCTAATCAGTCTCATGTATTGTGTGATTGAGTTGCTTTTCAGTGGATATTCCATTTTTATGTTTGAATTTCACATTTTATTTCATAACCTTGACCCTGTTCTCATTCAGGCAAAAATGCCACTGATTTCAGTAGAGACTTCGGATTGTAAGATCTGGTGAAACTGTCTTGTTGAAGCATAAAGTAACTAGGCTCTTTTCTATATATTAAAGTTGTATGGCTTTAAAAAAATTATTTTGAGCAGTTTTAAGGAAAATAAAAAGACT